GTTGACATGTCGTGGGGTTGTTAACCATTGTCATAAAACAATATGTGTACTAACTGTTTAATGAGAAACTATTTGTTCTGTAAAGCTTCATCTAAAGTACAATAAAAATTTTTAAAAAGTGTGTCAACTTGGCAAGGCCATGATTGCCAGTACTGTGTAGTTATGCTCCATTTTGTGATCTGATGTAATTACCTATGTGTTGTAAATCCTAACCTCCATGATTTTAATGAGGCAGGATTAGAGGCAGTTATGTTAATGAGGCAGGACACAATCTACAGGATTAAGTTGTATCTTGAGTCAATCTCCTTTGAGAGATAAAAGGAGAGGGAAGCTAGTAGAGAGAAGGACCTCATGCCACCAAGACAGAATCAACTCGATGGCAACAGGTTTTTTTTTGAGGTATTATTATTCCAATTTAATAGATGAGGAAAGTGAAGCTCAGAGAGGTTAACTGACTTGGCCAAAGTCACAAAACTAGTAAATGGTAGGGCCTGACTAGGTCTTTTAACTGAGGCCAGTAATCTTTTCATTACACCATAACTCTTGTAGAGTTATTTGAAAGTGCTCTCTATACAATAATAGGCCGGGCTATAAAAATTTTAATTATCCCCTCTATTTCCAGTATTGGAGCCCTGGTGGTATAGTGGCTAAGAGCTCGGCTGCTAACCAGAAGGTCAACAGTTCAAATCCACCAGCCGCTTCTTGGAAACCCTGTGGGGCAGGTCTACTCTGTCCTATAGAGTCACTATGAGTTGGAACCGACTCAACGTCACCTAACAAATGTCCAATATATTTATAAACATGCTATTTTGATCCTCCATAATATGAAGCCAAGTGGATAGACATATTTTCGTTTAAGTATGACTGATTTGGCTAATACAGATTAAATTTAATCTTGAATGATGGTCAATATATTTAGAAGAGCTTTCAAAGTTTTAAGATACAAAGGGAACATCTAACTATTTAAAGACATGAAGACCAAAAAAACTTTTAGTTTTTTAAGAGAGGTATTATCACATTTATTATCTTCCTCTCTCACACCTTTCTTTGGCTAGTCACTCACCTACCATTAGTCTAACCACCCCCTCCCTGTGGTGTACATGACAGTATTTAGCCCAGCACTCAATCTGCCCCCACTGCAGAGAACAATGGTCTCAGTGCATTCAAGCAGGCTGTGCAAAATTTGCACTACTTCAAATCCAATTAAAGAAATGTGTGAGATGAACAGGAAAACATCAAAACATTTTTGCATGCAGAAACCACAGGATAAATGTAACTTGCATAGTCTATCTTGTTCTTTAATCACTAATTTCGCCAAAGAGGAAGTCGAAAGTGTGGGCGTAACTGTTAATGGTAAAAGCAACACTTTGCAAGAAAAAAGAAAGGAAAGGAAACTTCCTTTATATATATAGCCATTTTTAACAGCGGAAGAAAGTCTGGGGTACCTCTCATCCTTGAATCTAGAAGTGCTTGGGTGAAGACTGATTTAGGACCAACAACTCTTGAACGCCTTAAGCTGACTCACAATTATCCCTTTTCCTTGATTCTGATTTCCTACCCTCGATGCACCTGCTCAGCTAGAGCGCCCCAGCCTTACCTGTTGTTCTAACTCCAGCCCTAGGCTCTCCGCCTTCTCCCTCACTTTTCCCACCCGATACTGACTCCTTTCCTTTCCTAAGCAAAGACAGACTTTTCCAAACCTACTCTCTTGAGGTAGGTCTGCCTCCCGCTACACATTCACAAATTCAAGTTCAAGTTCCTCTCAGATTCACTCTCCCTTCTCAGGCAAGGAAGTCTCTTTGCCACTGGCAGGCTCATCACCCCTCCCACACCCATGTCTGCATCTTCTCTTCTCACACTCCTCGTCAGACCATACCCCAAGTGTCCTCAATTCTCAGATCGACATCTCTGCCCCTTTCAAACTCACGGCCCACTCGAAAGCGCTCCTCTCCCAGACCTACACCCCCTTCTTCCTAGGGCAGCTTTGCTTCCCAGACTCACGTGCCCTTACACACCCTCCTGGCTCAGATCCGCCCTCGGAACACCTCCTCTCTGACCACGCCCTCCTCAGACCACCACCCTTCTCAGGCCCTCGCCCCCCTCAGACCACCTCCTCTCTCTGACCACGCCCCCTCACACTGCCTCTTCTCTGACCACGCCGCTCTCGGGCCCACGCCCCTCTCGACCACCTTCCCTCTCAGACCCACGCCCCTCTCAAACCACCAGCCCTCTCAGACCCACGCCCCTCTCAGACTGCCTCCCCTCTCAGACCCACGCCCCCTCACTCCGCCTCCTCTCTCTAACCCTCCTCACTGCACGTCTTGTCTCTCACCACGCCCCCCTCAGACCACCTCCCCTCTCAGACTCACGCCCCTCTCAGACTGGCTCCCTTCTCAGTCCCAGCCCTTCGGCCACCCTCCGCTCTCTGCCCCACACCTCTCACCCGCAGCCGGCTCGCAGTGCCGATGTGCGTCTGCTGCACGAAGGGATTGGGCACGGGCGGCGGGAAGAAGGACGCCTGGCGGGGCACCATGGGCGGCCGCAGCCCCGCATCTCCAACGCCCGCGTCTGGCACTGTGGCCGCCACCGCCGCCGCCTCGGCGCACCGGTTCATGGCTGAGCCGGGTGCCGGACCCGATAGAACGCAAGCGCCGCAGCCGACCTGGAACTGGGACCACGAAGGAGTCGGAGTCCCACGGGAGTCCCAGCCTGAGGCGCTGCTCTAGGACCTATGCGCAGGCGCCAGAATTACCAAGACGAGGGGCTGGCCTGGCACCGCCCCCTAGGCGTTGACTCCACCCCAGGCTCCGGCCCCACCCCCTGAGCGCGAGCCCCAACCTTTTAGGTATCTGGCTCTTGCTCGTTGCTAATACGACTAAGCCCCTTGGAGATGGATGTTTTCCCTTGTAAGCAATAACCCTAAGGATACCCCGGTATTCCCATCACCCCAATGTGAGTTTTGGCAGAGTTCTCTGCTTTATAGATTTCCAATATATTTTACTGGCTCTGGGACCTTGGCCGAATCACCGTCTCCACGAGCTTTAGTTGCCTGCTTCGGTAAAAACGGGATGAATGTAGTTAGAGGGTTGTGAGGCATTAATTATAGAATGTTTACACTGGGCAAACCATGTGGAAGGCACTCAACAAATGGTAGTTGCCACGCGTTTCCCCAATATCGTTGACACCCCAATGCCCCAGAAACCACCATTCTTGTATCCCTTGTCACAAGGGATTGCCTAGAGCTTCTTGTTGAGGTCTTCCTATCTCTCTTTCCCCATGTTCCTCCCTCCTCCTGCATTCAGACAGAAGCCTTTGAGGGTGGGCAAAAGTCCCAGAGAAGCAGAGCCTAGACCAAAAGCCTCTGCCCTTCCTAGGACTTTGGCCACATCACTTACATAGTCATCCCTTGTTCCACAGTGGTTCCCCCACAACTGAGGAGCCTCATAAAAAAGCAAACCAGTTGACACTGAGTGGTCTTGGACTCATAGCAACCTCATGTATGTCAGAGTAGAACTGTGCTCCATAGGGTTTCAAATGGCTGATTTTTTGGAAGTAGATCATCAGGCCCTTCTTCTGAGGTGCCTCTGGGTGGACCTGAACTGCCAACCTTTTGGTTACCAGATGAGTGATTTAATCATTTGCAACACCCAGGGACACTAGTACTCTTCAAACTGCATCCTCTATAAAGCCTCCGCATCACTGCAACTGAAAAAATGAAGGACCCATGCCCAACAGGACAACAGCCTCAAATAACCCAGCATCACTTTCCAGTAGATCAGGCCCAAGGCAAAAGCTCTGGTTAGTCTTAGAAGGAACTGCCCACTACGTTGGTATAAAAACACCCCGGCTTCTAGACATTAAGATTCAAGCAACTTAAAGATCATCCAGAGAATCTGAATCCAGCAATGCCAGGGGCAGCCACTACCCCTGGACTGTTCCATTAAGTTAGCTAGTATATTCAGGATTTTTTGTGTTTCTCCGTTTGATTTTTTTGCTTAAACTGGTTTGAAATGAATTTTTGTCTATTACAGCTAAGAGCCTTGACTAATATAGAAATTGGTACCAGGAATGAAATGTCACGCTCAAAACACATGGACAGATAGTGGGAGATGGTTCTCCAAAGGAATACCGAGCTATTACCAAAAAAAGGCAAAAATGACAGATGCCTTCCACCAGATGAGGAACCTGACCGAGAAAAGGGAAATGACTTGGGTGGTGCCTCCATTTCACCCTGCGAAAGTCCAAGGGCCTGTCTGGTCATGAGTGGGGGAAGGGAAAGAGGTGTCCCAGGACCTGAGACCAGTTGGTCAAGCCTTGAACGTGGCTGAGTGTCAGAGGATGAAGATGGCAAATGACCCATCCTTACTGGCCAAGTCTGTTCACAGGGCAGGCTGAAGGCCAGGCTGAGAATCTAAGTCTGGGCTCTGGGACAGCTGCTCCCCCAAACTTACCCACTGTAGAATTTCACAATCCTCTAACCCTACCAGATCTCGGTGTGAGCTTGAGCTAGTCACTTAACCTCTCTGAGCTTGTTTCTTCATCTAGGAACTGGGAGAAGAGTAACTCGTACCCTATAGGGCTGTAGTGAGGATTAAAGAAAATGCATGTGTAGTGTTCACAGAAAGCAAGCCCACAAGAAATAGCACCTTTTAGTTAAATTATGGGGCCGTGGTGGCGTAAGTGGTTAAGAGCTTGGCTGCTAACCAAAATGTCGGCAGTTCAAATCCACCAGCTGCTCCTTGGAAACCCTATGGGGCAGCTCTACTCTGTCCTATAGGGTTGCTATGAGTCGGAACCAACTCGATGGCACCTAACAACAGTTATATTATGTTGTGCAACAGCTGGATTTCCTCTCAGTATAACAGAGAATGTTGCTGGGTGCTGTTGAGTCAATTCCAACTCACAGTGACCCCATGTAACAGAGTAGAACTGGAGTTTTCTTGGCTGTAATCTTTACGGAAGCAGAGTGGCTAGGTGGATTCTAACCACCAACCTTTCAGTTAGCAGCCAAGCACTTAAAACCATTGCTTCTTACAGAGAACCTTAGTAACAGTGTATTAAAGCTGTGGTATAAACTTCCTCATGGTGACAAGGAGCTCCCCAGCCTGAGGATCTTCAAGCAGGGGCTGGTAGACCTTTGTAACTTTTCAGCCTAATACCTTCACAGAAGGATGTCTCTCCAGGATCCGTAAGAACATGAGCCAGTGGGCAGGCCACGGAAGGTAAGTTCAGGCCCACCATCTCCAGAGTCCTGTCCACTTCTATGCCAGCCCCAACAAGAGAGGCCTGAAGCAAGATTATCAGAGCTGGAAGCAGCCTTTGAAAAATTCTCAGCTTTAAATCTCTCTTCAGCAGCAGCTCCAGAATTGCTATATAGCAAGGGATTAGGGGTGGGCAGTCTGGTTGGAAGGAGTGATGGAGCTTATCCTTCAATAGAAGCTGGGTTTGGAAAGCAAGCACACATTTCTCCCCTAAGTGTGTTTACTTGGGGTGCCTTTGGCAGTGGTGACAGGTAATGCTGCTGATGGAGATGACGGGCTGAGGGCTAAAGCTCCTCTAGGTCACCGTTTGGCCACGACTCAGTTTCCTTATCTATAAAATTCAATTAATAGTCTCTCTCTCTTTAAGCTAAATTAAATGATACCAGTAAAGTGCCAACAATGGGTTCAAGCATAACAATTGTAAGGATGGTGCAGGACCGGGCAGTGTTTTGTTCTGTTGTACACAGGGTTGCTGTGAGTTGGAACCGACTTGATGGCACCTAACAAACCAGAACCCACTCGACGGCACCAACAAAGTAAAGTGCCTGGCATATAGTAGGCAGTCTTCTAATGGGGGAAAAATAGTTGCCATTGAGTCAACTCCAACTAATGGTGACACCATGTGTGCCAGAGTAGAACCATGCTCCATAAGGTTTGCAATTGCTGATTTTTTAGAAGTAGATCACCAGGACTTTCTTCCCAGGCAACTCTGGGTGGACTCAAACTACCAACCTTTTGGTTAGTAGACAAGCACATTAACCATATGCACCGGTTGCCGGTCACTGTTATCAGAAGAAGCATTAGAATCACTATTATTGGTAATGAAGAAACGGACAGGAGGAGAGAAAGGGGACCTTGAGCAGGACCCCACAACTCAAGTAAGAGGATTGCTGCTGTTTTGGGGCTCTTTCCCCAGAACAGAGGGGCTCCACCTCACCCACTCACCCACCCTGAGGTCTCTTTTATGGCATCTCTAATCTTTTCAGCAGAGGTTACCTGTGCTCTGAAGGGAAGCAAAGATGTGGACTTCTTCATTTTCCTTTTGTGGCTAAGGCATGGCCCCTCTGTGAACTCTGCTAGAACAGCTGGTAAACACTGCACTCAAATGGTGTCTTTATTCATACTTGTTGACATTTCCCATGGGGAATTGTTGAAAGGAGAGGAGGGGAGGGCTGAGCAGGGAGCCATGGCTTGGTTTTCCTCCATCCAGTAGAGGAAGTGACAGGCTAGGCACATACTAAATAGAGTGAACAAGGAAACCATCGCTATGTGGGCTGAGATGAATTGTGCAGTAACTTCAGACAACCTGAGGCCTTCTGTCCAGAAATGCAATTTCAAAGTGGAAAAACAAAACGGTCAAAATAAAAAGAACAAAGTGCATAAAAAGCAAACTGCTAATGTCTGGAAGGTTCTAAGGCAGCCAGCAGTAAGAATCCAGGTGTCTGGGTGGCCACCTGGCCCTGCCCCTATCCCACTGCTCTATGCCAGGCCAGGCTGTCGGGCCACCAGTGGGCTCTCAAGATAGTCTCGGTTGGCTCCAAGGGTGCTGAGAGCCACAGAAGGTTGTGGAGAGAGAAGACTCTGAAGACAGGGCACCACCAGGGCAGCTCAAGGCAAGACTGCCTTGAGAATATCAAAGCACCTCTTTGGGGTGGCTCTTGAGGGCCGGTGGGATTGGAGGGAGAAGGGGCAGATGGAATGGGTATAATCAGCACCTTTCCTTAGGCCCAGGATGGAGCTGCCCTCCAGAATCTTAAATTACCAGGTGGAAATGAGAATGCTGATTAAGTACAGAGCTAGAGGTGGGGCTGCCAGGCCCGTCCAGGTCCTTCCCTGGTGCTCAGGACCCAGTGTGTGGAAGGTGACGGAGAGGAAGGGCCTGCAGGAGCTGGGGGTCAGCTCAGCAGCCCAGCCAGTCGTGTTTGACGCTTCCAAACCTGACGGTCTTCAGATTTTGGTTCTCCAGCTTCAGGTAATATTCTCCCTGGAAGAAGTAGCTGTGTCCTGAGAAGAAGAAAGGAGAGAGGCCGTGACCACCCCATCCTCAGGCATCCTGGTGCCCATAAGGCTCCTGGGAGCTTTGAATGTCCGCCTGGCATAGGGAAGAAGCTTTTAAACCAGAGAGGACACCCCTTGGGCTGAAGGAGGGGCAGTGGCAGCAAAGGAAGCTCTTTGAGTTCCTGTTTTCTCTGCTCTAAGATGGAGATAAAGATATTAACCTCTTAGGGCTTGTTGTCGAGATTAAAGGAGATAATACATGCTGTTGTTAATAATAGTAACAGTACCCCGAGTAACACAAGCACTTTACACAGATTAGAGGTGACAAACCAGGAGGCTTCCAGCTCCATCAGGCCCACAGATGAGTTTTATTGGGCTTACCTGTTGCCATTGAGTCAATTCCCACTCATAGTGACCCTGTAGGACAGGCTAGAACTGCCTCATAGGATTTCCAAGGCTGCAATCTTTACAGAAGTAGATTGCCACATCTTTCTCCTGTGGAGCAGCTGGTGGGTTTGAACCACCAACCTTTCGGTTAGCAGCCAAGCGCTTAACCACTTCTCCACCAGGGCTCCTTTATTTGGCTTACACATTTTTTGTTGTTGTTGTTTTATTATTTTAATTCTGAGTAAGCTGCTAACATGTAAACATCTGGAAATTTCACATGAAAATATAGAATTCTGGCTTCTCTTTAAAATGACTAGAATATCTAACAATCCTGGGCCCACATTCTTGCAGGGCAGCAATCAGCAGAAGCTGAGAAGCAACTGTCCCCTGTAGATGTGCTCTCTCGTTCATCACAGACCCCACCATTCCCTATTGTCTGTCCCTGCCTGCTTCACTCTTTTGTGGTACCTGCCTGGCCTCTATAGGCTTTGTAATTTATGACTCCTGACATGCATAATCTTATTTCCTTTTTTTAAAACATGGCACATAGTAGGTGCTCAATACAGGTTTATTCTTGAAGATAGTCCTTAACCTAGCACCAGATCATATACTGAGTTTTTTTTTTTTTGAGCTCTGTAAGATCTTCAGCTACTGGAGGTCAAGGCTATGTCCTTAGCATATGGTAGCGACTCAAAAAATCTTTATGGAACTAATTGAATTGAATTCCCCTTTAAAAAGCCAAACCAGGCTCATTTCCAGACTCCTCAAGAATCCACAGAAGCCTCCTTGGGAATATGGTCCTCAAATTCCAAATTCTATCCCTCACTGATACTGGTCGTGTTTTATTCAGCAAGGGACCAGATGCAAATTGAGTTAAGTGGGAGATCTTTGCTACATCAGCAACAGAGAATGACAAAGTTTGTCCTGTCTCAAATGGAGACATCCTTCTGCTAATGGGAGGCAGTCACAGGCCTCCTGTGGAATCCAAAAGAGCCTGGGTTAAACACGAGAATGAATCCAGGGCACAGGGCCCATGTTCCTGACCCCCTGCACACCTCCTCCTGCCCTCCCCCTTTCTGGCTCCAGTCCTGGCAGCTGCTGTGAGGGGTCTTTCTGGGTCTTACAGCCTGGAGCTGGGCCAAGGAGCAGAGGTCAGGGGGCTGGACGCCTGCCCAGCACCGGGCTGAAGGGGCTGGCTTGTTTCTCTGGGGCTGCCGCAGGCCTGCCCTGTACAATAAGGAAGTGTGTGCTTGTGAGGAGCCAGGCCTTGGCTGGGGGAGGGGAGTCCTAGAAAGCGGAGAGGGGCTTAGGCAGCTCACCACCGCCCTGCAGGTCCACAGCAGCGTTTAGGTTATCAGGGATGGCATTCCAGGCATCTCCGATCAACCTGGGGTAGCCGGGATCCATTTTCTTCTTTACTTCATTGTATCTGCAAGGAAATGGACATGGTGAGCCAGCTGGCCTCTCTAAAGGCCACCCCTTTCCAAGCCTGGCATGGGAGGGCCCAGCGGATGGCTCCTGGGTAGACCTGGGAAGCCAGACCTGGCTCTTAGGGTAGCAGCCGTCGTGGAAAGGGCATGAGGTAAGACCTGGATCTGAGTCCCAACTTGACCACTTAGTAATTTTCATTGTCCATTTGACTTATGACAATCACATAAAAATTATAAGAATAATAACAGCTAACACTTATGGAGCACTTTCTATATGCCAGGCAGTGTGTTAAGCACTTTCTGTACACTTTCTCATTCAATCCTTATGACAATCCTATGACCCAGTTATTACTATAATCCACTTTACAGGCCAGAGTCTTAGAAAAGGTATCCAGCTTCCACGGGGTAGTGCAACTAAGGCCTGTCTGGTTCTAGGGCATACTACTCAAGCCTCAGTTTTATCAGCTGTAAAATTGGGTTGTTGCATGCATTAAATGAGATAGATAGATAAATCGATCGATAGGCAAATAGCTGCTATTGAGTTGACTTTGACTCATGGCAACCTTGTGTACCACTGAACAAAACACTGCCTGGTCCTGCATCATCCTCACAATTGCCAGCTTGTTCCAGTTCATCATTGTGGCTACTGTGCCAATCCATTTCACCAAGGATCTCCCTCACCATTGTTGGCCCTCTACTTCACCAAACATGATGTCCTCCTTTAGTGATTGATCCCTCCTGATGATGTGTCCAAAGCAAACAAGTTGAACCATATTCTGTTGTGATCTATAAGGTTTTCCTTGCCTAATTTTCAGAAGTAGATCACCAGGACTTTCTTCCTAATTAAATGAAATAGCATATGCAAAGTGCCTATCCCATGTCTGGCCCTTAGTAGATACTTGAGAAATGTTGGTTCCCTTACAAACCCTGATCCCTTCTGTACTGTGGGGAACACCTGACTAGGAGCTCAGGGGCTAGGTCTTGCCCCGTCACCCTTTCTTTCATTGTTGTTTCCTCATCTGTTAAGTGGAGATGACAATCATGTCCTACTGACCTATTGGGAGATGATCATGGCTGGGACAGTGAAGTTACGATGCAGGGTGGTGTGTGTGAGTCTAACAGGCCTGTTAGTCATAGGGTGGACCTGCTGCCACCTCCGTCCTGGCTGCAACTCTCAGTGTGCAAAGTTCTCCTGTGCCCCTCCTTTCCTTTCGGTTAATACCTTGAGCATTAGTACATTCTTCTCCCTGGCTAGCAATACCTCTGTCTTTTTCATTTTTTGGAGAACTTTTTAAATGCTGCTGTCACTTTTATATCTTTGCTTCTCCACTTACACTATGAGTCAGAATCGACTCAACAGCAATGGATTTTTTTTTTAATTTTATTTATTATTCTACAGATATTTAATGAGTTCCCACTATGTGCCTGTGGATATCATGGTAAGCAAAATAAAGTCTTGCCCTCATGGAGCTAATTTTCTAGATAACTCCGTGTTTGATCCCCTTCCAGTGGGAGCCAAGCTGTCCTCTACAGTGTCTCACAGATGCCTCTCTTCTTCTGCACAGTCAGCCTCTCCATCTCCACCCTACACTCCAGAAGCAGCCTCTCTATGGGCTCCCTGCCACAGAGGTCTTCCCCCTCAGCCCATCACCCCAAGAACTTAGGCCCAGCCGCAGCATAAGACTTTTTGGAAAACCTAACATGCTTCTTCATGACCTGGGTCAGCAAACTCAAGATCCCCAGCTCAAAACCCAACATTCCCATCCACATCACCTCCACAGAGTCCTCAAACTACATTCTCTAGAGTTATGATGGCTCAGAGGTACGTGCCCCATGCTTGAGCTTACCCTCATTTCTTTCTAATTCTATCCCATTTTATAAATGTGGAAACTGAGGTTCAAGAAGTGAAGCAATTTGCTTCCAAGTTCTCTTCCTGGAGTATCGTGGCATCAGAAGACATTGGCTCTGACGGGGACTCCCCCTGTTCCCTTTCCTCTCTGTGCCTGTAGTCTCCTGCGGTGTTTCCCCCTCGCTCGTGCACTATTGTTGACAGGTGTCTCCGTAACGCCCTGTAGTTCTCCTCTGCAACTGTAGGGTGCAGTGTAGGGCAGGTGTTGCAAACAGACATTTGTGTCTCAGTTTTTCCACTTGTGTACCCTTGAGCTACTTCAGCCTCAGTTTCCAAACCTGGAAAATGGGGCTAATAATAATATCTACCTTAAAAGAGCAATATAGGTTGAAGTACACAGCCTCTGGCCTAAGATGTGGTCCAGGTTGGCTCAATGACAGCCATTATTTTATTCAAATGTGGTTTTTGTCTCTTTCCTTCATCCTACCATAAGCTCCCTGAGGGCAGGAAATGACTATTCCTTTACTACTGTCTCCCTAACACCAAGCTAAGTGCCTAGCGCATGTAAGTTGAATACGTATTTGTGGGCTTAGTGGAAGCTTCCAAAAGGAGCTGAGCACTCCCCGGCAGGAGATGGGGAATGCCCAGGCTGGAGGTAGCTGTTCATCCTCCGTAACTCTGGAACGCTCTCTCCTTGTCCAGCAAGGATGCCTTGGGCTCACTTGTGGTTGGTGTTGGGTGCTGTCAAGTCGATTTCGACTCATAGCAACGCCACGTGAAAGAGCAGAATTGCCCCATAGGGGGTTCTAAACTTTAATCTTTACAGGAGCAGATCACCAGCTCTCTCTCCCATGGAGCCACTGGCTGGGTTCGAACCACCAACCTTTCAGTTAGCAACCAAGCACTTAACTGTTGTGCCACCAGGGCTCCATTTGCCATCCAGTTGACTCCATTCCGACTCATGGCGACCCCACATGTGTCAGTGTGGAACTGTGTGCTCCATGGGGTTATTAATGGCTGATATTTTGCCAATAGATCACCAGGTCTTTCTTCTGAGGTGCCTCTGAGTGGACTCAAACCTCCAACCTTTTAGTTAACAACCGAACAAGTTAACCGTTTGCACCACCCAGGAACTCCTGCAGACACCACGCCAGGACTGGTTTCTCAAGTTCATTAACCACTTCCCCTGGGAGAGAGCTCTTTCTCCTTTGGGAACTCAGCCCAGAGCCTCCCACAGGCCCTGCAGGTCTGCTCCTTTTAAGGAAGTCTCACTGAGATTCCTCTGTAGAGCAGGCTGTCCTGTACCCTAGCTTTGGGAGGTGGGCTTGTTGCAGAAAAGACAGGAAAACAAACACTTTGCCCAGAAATGCAGCAAGGCACTGTCTGAATGTCAAAGTGTGTGTTAGTGTGTGTGTGCATGCTCACATCCACACACGGATGTATATATTGCCATCTTTGGGTGCGTCAGAGGGCGATTCTACGATGCATTCATAATTCGAAGCGCTAGGGTGTTACGACTCTCAGATTGAAGCTTCTGTGATTCTGTGACTCTCAGTCCAAGACTTAAGATTCAGAAACTCTGAGGGCTGACGATGCTGAGATGCGATCTGCAGTACATCATGTGCCTTCGAGGGTTCCGGAGACTGTGGGTGGAAAGTTCGCTCCCTGGTTTCCTGGCTGGCTGTTTTCTTTCTTGAGCTATCAATCAGCTTAAGTTGTGAAGTGTCTTAGCAATATGTCTGGAATTCCACCCTGACACGGACAGGCCTGGGATATAAACAGCTTCTGAAAACAGGGCAGCTGGGGGCGGGCATGGTGGGGGAGGGGAGATGTGGGAGAGAGAGGCCTTGGGAAGGAAGCTGAATTATTTCAGGGGTGGCAGACAAAGGCCTGAGGGAGTGGTGCCTAGGAGGGCCCAGATGCAGTGGCAGCCCCAGAAGGAAGGTAAAAGGGTAAAAGACACCCCTAAAAGTGTCACTGCACCCACCATCCCTTTCCCATGGACCAATGACCCTGAATGTATAGCGGAGGGGACACTGGGTTAAAAGACAGAAGCGGTTATAATCCTGACTTTGTGACCAACATACTGCATCGTCTTAGGAAAGTTCCTTAATGTTTTTGGACCTCAGTTTCCCCATCTGGACAATGGGAAAAATTACAATCAAACGCCTGAGGTTTGGGCCTTCTCCTACTGCCCATGCCTGGATACTGGGCTCTCTGATCCCTTAACCCTGACAATGGCCTCTCAGAACTAGACCCTTCCCTTTAGATGACCTGGAGCAGAGAGGTGCCTGCTTCCAAACTGCCCCTCTGCCAGTCTGTGCCCACAGCCACAGGGCCTGTTGCAGGTGCCAGAGGCTCAGTGCTATGCCCCCAAGGGAGGATTTGGGCCTTTGGTCTGCTGGTATGCTCGTCTCTCAGTCTTCGTCTTATTTCACTCTCTGTCATCCCTGTCTCTACCACCCCGTCTCTTGGGGCCCCAGTAAAGTATAGTGAGGATTAACATGTTCTCTGGGAGCTAAAATGGAACCCACCATTACCTGGCTATGTGACTTTAAGCTAGTTACTTAACCTTTCTGAGCCCAAGTTTCCTCATCTGTAGAATGGGAATAAGCATAATAATATCCACTTCACAGAGCTTTTGGAATAGTATCCAGAACATAGTGTCCATAGCAACAAATAAGTCTAGTTTTTATTACCCTCTTCTTCAGGGAAGGTGTCCCTGGGAGGTGCAAGTGGTTAATGTGCTCAGCTGCTAACCAAAAGATTGGAGGTTTGAGTCAACCCAAAGGTGCTTCAGAAAAAAGACATGGTGATCTACTTACAAAAAAATCAGCCATTGAAAACCCTGTGGAGCACACTTCTACTCTGACACATGGGGTTGCCATGATTCAGAATCGACTCAATGACAATCTTTTTCTTTTTTTCTTTCGTTAGTGAGGCTCCACCCCAGACAGGCATAGGCACAATTAAAAGACTTCTGAGAAGGCAGAAGGGATTCTGACCAGAATTGTACCAGCAACGTGCACAAGGATGTGTCATTCTTTGGTGGCTCCTCAGAGGGGCTGTGGGCCTGGCAGGTTAGAGGCCAGAGGAGGGGCATCCATGGTCCACCAGCCTCTGAACTTGACCCAGGAGGCAGGGAGCCACGTGTCTTCCTTGCCTGTCTCTGCACAGCTGCTCCATCACTTACCTCCAGAACCTGTCCCCAACAAAGATGTATGTCTTCTTGTTCTTGCTCCAGTTAAAGGCAGCATCCACTCGCTGGACATCAGGAGGTAGCCCCAGGCTGGTCAGTGGCTTGGGGTACCCACGCTCCAGGGTGCTGGCTGAATAGACCCAGTACTCATTCCCTGGGGTGGAAGCAAAGGGACACACTGTGTTGGTGGCATGCTAAGTCCCCCAGGCCAGCCTGTTCCTCCTGTCATCTGTCTTCCAGGGTACCTCCCTGAGGCCATTCCTAGCAGGAATACAGGTTCCTGCTCACTCTGCACATGTTCAGGGGACTGGGTGCAGTGCCCAGAACTGGGGCTTACACATGTGATTCTACCCATAGGTTACAGAAGGTGCCGGCCAAGGAGGAGAGGAGGGAAGGAGATCCTGCCCACGCTCTGCTCACCAAGCCATGCACTCTGGGTTTGCCGGGAATCAGAAGGCTTCAAAAACAATTGAAAAGGAAATGAGATGTTTGCTATGTGGGTCGATGCTATTTGATGCTGGGTCTCTGAACCACTCTCCTAGATGAATTCCATGCTTTGGAAAGGATGGTTGAATGAGTGGATCCATTTAAGGAGAGGGATTACCCACAGGTGCAGAGGAAACATGGCTTGGGATGGGGAGTGGGCCCGGTAGTGGGGAGCCCTGGTGCACAGCCCATGGGGCTGAGGGCCACGGCAAGACCCTTGCAAACACCTGCAAAGAACACAGTCTTCTCCTCCTGCGGGGCCTCGTATACAGCATCGATCTTTTCCGGGAGCTCAGGCCAGAATGTGGCCACCAGCAGGGGTCCCATGGGTTTGTCATGCAGTGTCACTGTCCGCCAAATGAACCTGGGGATGGGGAAGGGGACACAGGAAATCACACCTTCAGTCACTCTGCAGTGCTAACCACACGTGCCTCCCAAGCCCACCCATACACATCCCAGTGATGATTCCCTGGGAGGGGAGGCAAGGCCAACGGAAGGTCAGAGAAGGACCAGAGAAAGGGCAGAGTCCTCCTCTGCAAGATGCCAGGACTGAGAAGCAACTCCCTTGCTCCCCCCCCCCCACTCCTCCAGGAAGCCTTCCCTGACTACCTCTCTCCATACAGTGCTCTCCCTCCTCTGAGCCTCTCAAAATCACCAACACTGGTGAACAAACAATAGTTTGTTCTTTAAGGAAAAAAATGTGTTATCTTTTCTACTAGATTAGGAGCTACTTGAGGCAGGGGCTAAAGGCACTCAAAACAGCATGTCCTGAGTTGAAGTGGATTGGATTCATGCCATTTGGCAACAGTAAGAGCCATCACGTATGGAGCGCCTATGAACGGGCAAGCACTTTATGTGCCTTGTATCATTCAATCCTCACATTATAAGAGAATATTCACTCTTGGTGGCCTAGCCAGCATCCTCTTCCCCCACTGTCCTTTCTCACAGAACTCCCACATTTATGATCCATCCTTCCCCCTGGTCACCCCAGTCCCCATTCTAATAGTAGATACTAATTAATCTTAGCCACTGGGTCTCAAATTGTGGTCTCCAGACCAGCAGCATCAGCATCACCTGGGAATCCCTGTACTGGGGGGCTGCTGGGCAGCACTGACATCTGCTCAATGCTGGTTTGGATATTCAAAGTCAGATAGTACCTGACTTCTCATTACATATTGAGTCTCGTCTCTCTCTGCGTTCTTGTCGTCTCCCCTCCTAGCCTGCAAACCCTGCAAAATGCAGGCCATCTGCACCCCAGCCCCTAGCCAGTGCCTGGAGCAGAGCCCCAAAGAGATGCTTGAATGCCTTCTAGCTTCTCTGTTCCTCCCTGTAAACGCCACCAACTTTCACATCTCCACACCCTTGCAAGTATCTTGCAGTTTCCTGTTTCAATCACCCTCCCAACCTGTCACCCCCATCGCATCCATCAAAGACTTGCTTAAGGGCTACTTCATCTGCAAAGCCTTCCCGGTATCACTAGCAGAGAATGAATACCTCTTTCCCATATGCCCACAAAAGCACTTTGCTAATGCCTCTGCAGCCACATTTCTCTCATCCTGCCGTGTGTTACTGTCAGTTCTCTAGATCTCTGTTTCCCAAACCAGACTGGAGATGCTCAAATTTTAATGGGCATCAGACTCACTTGGGTAATTTGCTAAAATGCAGATTCCTGGGGCCCATTCCCAGAGAACCTGAGGGACAGAAACCCACCCTTTTAACACTCACACTCCAGGTAGATCTGGTATCAGTGACCCACGGACCTCTCTTTGAGAAACACTGATCCGAACATCAAGCAGAACCGTCACCACCCCACCCCAAGCTCCTAAAACCTAGCAGTTTTGACACAGTGAATGCTAAATAATTATTTGTCAAAAATAATAGCTAATATGATTGAACACGTACCCTATTTCAGGTATCGTTCTAAGCACTAAGCTCATCTAATCCTCACAACAGCCCCATAACATAGGATTAAATATTAGTCACATTCTGTACATGAGGAAATTGAGGAATAAAGAAGATCAAGGAACCCTGGTGGTGCAATGGTTAAGCGCTTGGCTGCTAAATGAAAGGTTGGTGGTTCAAACCTATCCAGTGGCTCCATGGGAGAGAAACCTGGCAATCTGCTCCCATAAAGATTACAGCCTAGGAAACACCATGGGGTAGTTCTATTCTGTCACACGGGGTCACTATGAGTCAAAAATTAACTCGATGGCACCTAACAACAACCAACAACATGATCACTCAACTAGGAAGTAGCATGTCCAAGATTTTAACCCAGATAATTGGACTCTAGAGCCCATGCTCTTAACTACTACCGCATTTTTACTCAAATAATGTGTGGGTTATATGTTTTGCCAACTGCTCAACGCCCTGGTGATTTGTTTTCCTAAATGTGCAATCAGCATTATATGTATGGGCATGTTATTTACATGGGCGTGTTATTTGCAAAAATGCGGTATACTCAACAGATGGATAGATGGATGGATGGATGAACTGATGGATGGATGAAGGATGAATGGATGGAAGACAGAGGAATGGTGGATGGACCCTAGATACTACATGCAGTCGTAGATACTACATACCATTCTCCAGGGGGGATGGGGTAACAGGGTGAGTATCAGCCTTTGGCTGACTGAGTGGAGGCTGTGTCTACAGCATGAATATCACTGACTGTCTATACCCCATGATCATTCCATACCTGGAGCAATTTGGTCATTTGAGGTCGAGACTATTTCAGAGAAGGCCTGTGGTAAACTGGATTACTGTTCCCAACTCTATCCCTGTTTTGGAATTCTACATCCGTGATTGTGCGGTACCACTCCTAGCAGAGATGTTGGGTTTGGCCATGTGATTTGCATCTACCAATGGAGTATTCTCAAACATGATGTGAGTGGAGGCTTTCAATATGCTTGTGTGGTTTGACTTTTCTGCCATCTGCCAGGAGTAGCCACAAATTCCAGAAGAATGAGCGACATGCAGAGCAGACCTGAACCCAAACTGCAGCCCAAAGCAGGCACCCTAGTGGACCTACAGACTTTGAGGAAGCAAAAGAAATGCTATTGTTGTAAACCACTGAGATCTGGAGGTTGTCTGAAATGCAGCAAAAACTCTAATACGAGGCCACTCTGAGACGCTCCCACGGGGTCCTCTGCAAGGGGTAAGGGCACACAAGTAATGGGTGAGGGACAGAGGACAGGGAGGACACTCACCGGTCCTTGAAGAAGAAGATTTCCCCACGGATCTGAGCGATGCCATCAAAGATAATGTCCTGTTTGCAGATCTCAGGAGTGATGGGTCCCAGCGTGGGGGTGGGGCCGGTGCCAGTGTCAGGGGAGGCCCCTGGGGGGAAGACACGTGATCTCAGACTCTCCCCAGCTCCAGGGATCTCCCCAGCAGGCTGAGCCCCAAGGCTGCCCACCCAACCTGCCAAGGGTCAGAAGAAACCGCCTTCTGGCCTGAGGTAAGCACAGGTGAGAGAGGGAGAAGGACCCCGGACTTGGAGACTGAAGAGAAACCAGAATCCCATGGCCCTAAGCCCTTCACAAACCGCTCTTCACAGGCCTCTCCTGAATTAGCCCTCTGCGTTGCTGGAAGTGAGTAACATCATCACTCCCATTCTACACACGAGGAAACTGAGGTCCAGAGAGGGTGAATGACTTGCCCAAGGATTTAAATCCAAAGCTCAGGTTCATGAGCCCACAAGAGCAGCAGGGCAGTTAGGGGGCCATGCATGTATCTGGCACCAGGAGTGTGGCAGTTTCTGAAGGATGAGCCTTTACTCCTCAAGATAACCAGCCACATTCTGGAGAGGAGGAAACTGAGTCCAGAGAGGTAAAGACTTGCTCGGGCTCTTGCAGCTGGGGAGTGGTGGTGGAAGCACTTGAACCCAGAGTCTCTCGCTCCAGATCACAGGTTCTTTCCTAAGTCCAGTGTTCTCCAAGCTTCATCATTCAAGCACCACTTTCGCTATTCTGGCCTGATCTAGGTACCATCAATACCATTATATATATAAATAAATAAATATATATACACAAAATACTAATATATATAGAAACCCATTAACCCATTGCTGTCAAGTCAATTCTGATTCACAGTGACCCTATATGGCAGACTAGAACTGCCCTGTAGGGTTTCCAAGGCTGTAATCTTTACGAAAGCAGACTACCACATCTTTCTCCCGTGGAGTGGCTGGTGGGTTCGAACCACCAATCTTTCCGTTAGCAGCCAAGTGCTTAACCACTGCACCACCAGACCTCCGTATGTATATGTGTATGTATATATATGTGTGTGTACGTATACAAAAATACTACATATTTATATATATGTGTGTATGTGTATGCATATATACATACATATATATATAGCAAAACCTACAAAGGCCGGAACCTGTTTAAGGCAGAAACCTGTCAGAGAAGGAAAACTCACGTTTTCCACTAATATACAGTGATAGAAAAGTGTTAAGACTGCACCCTGTCAAAGGTGGAAGACTCGGGAGACTCAGAAAAACAAGGCAGTCAAGTTCCAGCTCTCACAGTTTTCACTGTATATACATACATATGTATATATATATGAACCTACTTTTTAAACTCTAGCCCTATTGTAAGCATTAATAATCTATAAATCATGGGTTCAGGGTACTAGTTGTATTGTTTCTATAACTCTTAAAGATAACAGTGCAATTGTGAAAACTACAAACTTTCATGATGTATTACTGAAGTCGCCTGTATAACCTAGGGTGGCCCTTCTACATGGTGTGAAATTCTGCCCTGTACTTTGCTAACTCTCCTGGATTCCAAACCCAACTCATTGCTTAAACCTGCATGCCCTGGGGTCAGAAAGGTCACCTTTCCCAGGCCTCAGTTTACTGTCCTAGAAAATGGAGAGGCACTGCCTGCCTCACAGAGTGGCTCTGGGAGCCTAGAAGAACACGGATATTAGTGTTTGGAAAGGCAAGAGGCTACCCAACGGGTCCCTTGGAGTGTTGCTCTGCGTCTTCCGACACCACCAACCGACCAGGCCAACAGTCCTGCCCCCTGCCCTGGTTTCCTTCAGTCCTGGGTGGATGAGACCTGGCTGGCTCTCATACCCTAGGCCTCTACCCGAGGCTGCACGGCCTCCTAAACCCCCACCCAGAGGCCCCCAAGATGAGGTTTACCATAGAGCTCTTGAATGCCCTTGATGTCATCGTGGGACAGGCGGAAGTTCTTGGTGTAGGTGTAAATGGGCGCCATTAGGGCTCCAGGGTCCTCTGAGTGCTCCAGCCCCATCGCATGGCCAAACTCGTGGGCTGCCACGAGGAACAGGCTGTACCCTGAGGGCCACGGGGAAGAGGGGCAGAAAGACAGGGAAAGATGAGAGAGGAATCAGGATCTGGCCCCAGTTGCGGAGACCTTTGACGGCACTGCCACGCTGGGGCTGAGAGCCCCGGAGGCAGCTGTAATGCACTTTCCTTCTCCCTGGAATTCTGGGATTAATAGACTATGACTATCGCTCTGAAGCAGGGCCAGCCAAAGTTGCCTTGGCCCTTTCAGGCAGGCTGCCCATGTGCTACAAAGGAGGAGGACAAGTAGCACCTGCCAATCCTCTACTTAAAGTCCCATTTATTAAAAACTGAGCTTCCTGCATTGAGTTTCTGTTTACACTGATGGGAAAACTGGCATCGATTAAGGGGACTGGCTGCACAACATGATTCATGTAACTGATATCACTAAGACGTACCCCTGAAAAATGATAAATTTGCCAGTGTGTTATATATATTTTCACAACAATAAAAAAAAAATTGAGCTTCCTGGCTTTTTGTGTTTCTCGATCAAGACTGGGGGCAAAACCTGCTCTTCAGAGTCCCAAAGCAGTAAGAGTGGCAATAAGCTGGCCCCTTGGGGCCACCATTTGTGCTCCAGGTAAAACAGTAAAAACCCTTCCCACTTGGAGTGGGTGCCTAGGCTCAGCTCCAACCAGCAAGCAAACCTACGTCTCCCCCATCACCAGCTCTGCAGCCTTAAGCTGTTCAGGCAGACGGAGGCTCCCACCTTAGGTTGAAGGCCGGAGCAGCGCAGGTGAAGTCAAGATGTGCCCTAGTATGGCACTTGACGGAGAATAATAAAAACTCGTTTGGCCAGCCTCTGCTGGCTGGCATTCTGAAAGTTGTATCTTATTTCGAGAAGAAGAGTAAAAGCAACACGGAGAGGAGGCCAATCTAATTTTGGCAGGACCTGGCCCAGCCCTCTCGCCTGGCCAGCTGAGCCAACAGGAAGCTCTGAGCGAATGACCCTGAGCCCTGCAGACTGGAGAGGGCACGGTGCCCCAAGCTCCCTGCTCATGGCATATGCCACACAACAGGGTCACAGGCTGTCTCCTGGTCACTCTGTTCTGGAGGGCAGAGAACTGTCCCAGCTGCTGTGTCCTCAGCACCCAGCACTAACAAGGACCCGCTGCTCAGGACTTGGCAGAGGACAGTGTTGCTGGGGCCGAGAGAGGGCTCTGGGGCTTTGCAGTGGGGCCTCTCCACTACCAGCGTGGGCTTGGAGCAAGGATAAGGACACTTCTCCCCTCTCTCCTGCCCGAGGTCCCGCCTATATGTTGGCAGGGTCAAGAAGGATGTTGCTCTAGCTTGACCTGCCAGAGGGGCCACCCCCCAAACTCCTGGAAGGTGTCTATCTCTTCATTGGAATGGGGATGTCTCTTGGGAGCATCACAGCTCTGCAGGAGGGTAACCTGTGCCCAGAATGCAGACAATTTGGGGGGTAGAAACTGCTCTGCCTGGAAGGGTGGTAGAGAAGGGAGACCTGTCCTTGGGAAAGAGTAGAATCTCTTCAGCAGGGCTGGTTTACACCCAGGACAGGGTCCTGGGGGTATGGGATCTTATTTTAGGGGCAGGTCTCCGCCCAGGTGGCGAGGCCTAAGCAGGGAACCTGTCTCCACCTGGGATGGGCACTGTCTCTGCCTAGGTTAGGGGGAGGTCCAGGGGGCAGGGAGAGCTGTGTCCCTGCCAGGAACGCGCAGGGCCTCACCCGAGGTGGGATCTCACCAGCGTGGGTGGGTCTGGGGGTGATGTCTGTGCTGGAGGTGGGTGAAGTCTCAGTCAGGAGAAGGGGGCAGGGTGGGTGTCTCTGTACCTTGGTCCGGGCAGAAGCCCCACTTGCGGTCATCATCATAGCTGCTCGTGGTCGCACACCATATCTTCCCGTCATTGCGGCCGGTGCTGGTGCAGCTCTCGTGCTTGTTGCCCAAGAAGGTGAAGGGGAAGACGCAGGGGGCACCTTCTGAGTTCCCGCCGACCGTTGACATGGCTGTGGGGTTAGGGACACAGGTCAGGGGGCACGAAGGGCTCCAAGGCCACCACCAGGGTTCAATGACACACCACTGACGTTAACAAACCACACTCACTGAGCACTCGCTCCGTCCCAGGCACTGTGTCACCTGCCCCACAATAACCCACTGTGTAGGGATTGACGCTAGCCCATTTCATGGATGGGAAAACCAGAACTCGGAGCGATTACAAAACTTGCTTGAGCAGAGACTGCTAGGACGTGTCAGGGCTGGGATTCAAACCCAGGCAGCCCAATTCCAGAGCTAGAACTAGCCTCCCAGGGACGGGGGCCAGGGGTCTGAGGCAAAGGGAGCTGATGGTGCAGAGCTGACGGTGCCAACTTGCTCCCCCCGACTGCGAGCTTCCTCAGCAGGGGCCTGTGGGATGCCTACCTCCGTGCCTCCTGCATAAAGCAGGCCCTCAGTAAATACACGCTGGAGGGTGGGGGGCAGTCCTTACAGAAAAACAGACTAAGAAAGATACAGGCTAGGACAGAGAAAGGCAGGGGAAGAGAGAGACGGAGAGAAACAACCATCAGGGAGGCTGAGAGATAAGGGCTGTGGTCAGTGGAGAGTCTTGGGGCCCGACATCCAGGCACCTCAAACTCGGTAGCGCTGCCTGACGTTCTGATACCAGCGTCCGTGTTGATTCAGCTAAGCAGCTGCTAAGCATTCTGACTAGTGCCCTGTGCTGGGGAAGGAGGATGGCGGCTTGTGTGGGTTTCTCCTCAGGGGCAGAGTGCTGGGGCACACCCACCTGTCTCGGGGCAGAAGCCGTACTTCTTGTCCCGGTCGTAGTCGTCGGTGGTGCCGCACCAGCGGTAGCCGTCCGTACGGCCCTCGGTGGTGCAGCCGTCATAGGTCGTGCCCTGGAAGCGGAACGGGAACTTGCAGGGCTGTCCGTCGGCGTTGCCACCCATGGTGAACAGGGCTGGGGCGGAGAGAGACGGAGGATGTGTGTGTGAGAGAGAGGCCACCTCCACGGGCCATCCGGGCACCTTTGTGGGCAACGAGCTGCTGCCCGCCAACCTGCTGGCTTGCTCCAGCAACGCTGGAGTGTCGTTAAAGTATTAAAAATCCTTTATACTGATTGGTAGGTCCCTGGGTGGTACAAACTGTTTGTGCTTGACTACTAACCAAGCCAGGGAGCCCTGGAGGCACAGTGGTTAAGAGCTACGTCTGCTAACCAAAAGGTGGGCAGTTCGAATCCACCAGTCGCTCCCTGGAAACCCTACAGGGAAGTTCAACTCTGCCCTATAGGGTAACTATGAGTCAGAATCGACTCCATGGCAGTGGGTTTGGTTTGGTTTTTTTACTGACCAAAAGGTTGACTGACTATAGCCAGCAGTGCAGCAAAGAAAGGCCCGGTGATCTCTAAGATTAGTCACTGAAAACCCTATGGAGCACAGTTCCACTCAAATGCATGGAGTTGCCATGAGCCACAATTGACTCCTCAAGGGCAACAGGTTTGGTTATGTTTACACTGGTGGGTAAACAGCTGCTTCTCTAAGCTCCTATCTCTGGGGCCAACCCAATCCCTCCCCTAAGACCTTCTTGACCTCCAGCACTGAAACGGTTAACACCTGGCACACAGCAGGGGGCCTCCAGGACCCTGCCCTAGCCCCAAGGTCACTGTCTACTCTGCCTGGTCCACGCCCACATTGTATTGATTGCTAACTCCATCACCCATGGTTGGCAGGACTGGAAGAGTGTTCTATTGACAGACAGGGAAACTGAGGCTTTGAAAAAGCTGGCCCTGGGACTGCTTGTGGCTACATCAACAGAAGAACTGCATAAGGCTTATAACTGAAACTCTCAAAACCAAACCCATTGCCATCAATTCCAACTCATGGCAACCCCACTATTACAGAGGAGAACTGCTCCATAGGGTCTTCTGGGCTGTAATCTTTACAGAGGCAGATCTCCAGGCCTTTCTTCCTCAGTGCCACCAAGTGGGTTTGAAAGCGTAAACTGTTTGCGCCACCCAGAGACCTTAAATGAAACTACAAAACACACTAATTTCAGTGTCTCTCACTCATTCACGCTTTGTCTCCTACACACACACACACACACACACACACACACACACACAGCAGAAATCTTCATCTCCTTCCAACCCTAGGCCCCTTCCCAGCTGGCCCTACTGCGGTCCCTGAGGAGAGAGAGGAGGAGGAGGTGTCTTTGGCAACCTTTTATACAAACGCCAGGCTCCCACTTTGACTTCCCCAAGACAGGAGTCCTGACTGACGAGTGAGAGGAAAGGGTTGGATTCAGACTCTGAGCTTGTCTGTCTTGGGTTCTCCCCCACCCTCTTATCCACCCTGAAGCTACAAAATGGTATGTTTCTGGAATTGCCAGCGAGCAAAACCACAAGTGCATAACAAGGACCATCTGTGCACAGCAGCGCCAGAGGTGACCTCATCAGCCCCCATTAACTCCACCACAGCCAGAATGGAGCCCAGTCCCTAGCCCCCAACTCAGGACTCAGGGCGCCTATCCTCACTGCTCCCCTCTCCCCAACCAAGAGACCCTCTCCTGCAACCCCAGAGACAACAGCACTAAGGGAAGAGACAAAACTGAGGCCAGAAGCCTTGGTGGCCTCAGAACGGGGAAGGCGTTAACATTGACCAAGTCGAGCCCCTGCCTCCAGCCTCCCAACAGCTGCATTTCTACCACCCAGGAAGCCCGTCTCCTCTCAGATCCTGCCCCCAATGAGGATGGGGAGCAGCAGACACTGACTCAGCAGTCAGGAGGGTCTGAGTAACAAGAACCCCAGTCCCAAGCCCCAAACATGTGCGTGTTGTGCGCGCTTGCATCTGGCTAAAGACCAAGCAAGTGCTGGCTAACGTTCAATGCAGGGATAAACCCTTCCCAACTTATGAGTTACAGATCTGTTTCCGCTCTGTTATCAAGGCAGTCTATTGCAATCACAGGGGCTGACTCATGGAAGGGTTACTTTTACCTGGATCCCTACTGGGAAATGCAAGATACAGAAAATATTTTTATTTAAAAAATCCTGACTTGTTAAAGGCCAGTGGCTGAAGCTCTTACTTAATACAAGGCTTGTTGTTATTATTAGTCACCATTGAGTCAATTCTACTCATGGCACCCCCATGCATGCAGTGTAGAACTGCTCCAAAGAGTTTTCAAGGCTGTGACCTTTCAAAAGCAGATGGTCAGGGCTTTCTTCCAAGGCTTCTCTGGGTGGGTTTGAACCACTAACCTTTTGGTTAGTAGCCCAGTACTTAACCACGTGCACTACCCAGGGACTCCATAATACAAGGCTTAGCTTTGGTAATAAAAGTATAGAAAGGAACACAATTAATTAGCTATCTCTTTCTTTCCTTCTGTAACGATGGCTGGTGCTCAGAGTTCAGTTATGATGGGGTCAGAGAGATTCACACATACATAAAATATAGCCAACAAGAAGACATACGTTATGGACTGAATTGTGCCGCCCCCCTCCCCACCAAAATCTGAAATCCCAACCCCTGTACCTGTGAATGTGACTCTGTTTGGAAATAAGGGTTTTCTTATGTTACGTTAATGAGATTGTACTGGGAGTAGCTCCATTGCCCTTGACCCTATAGGAGAGAATAAAATTGCCCCATAGGGTTTCCAAGGCTGTAAATATGGAAGCAAACTGCCACGTTTCTCCTGCAGAGTGGCTAGTGGGCAGCTGAGTGCTTTAACCACTGTGCCACCAGGGCCCGCTATGAAATTATACATACTGCCGTTTTATTATTTATGATTATGAAGTGTATCAAGGATATTTCAAAAAAGGATTGAGTGTGCATGTCAACACCCTCACTCTTTCTAAAACTCTCCTCTTACCTGCCCTCAAAATATCTGAGACTTTGTCTGAAGTACTGACAAACACACACACACAAATATTGAGTCAAGCCTACTGCCTTTACCAAGACTCAGAGACTTAAACACAAGCTAGACAGACTGGAGGGACAGAAAAACAGACAGAGCCCAAGCGAGGCAGATGAAATAGGCCCCATGCTCAGACACACGCACACACATACACACATGCCCCGAACATACACACACACGCACATTTGCAGAGACACCATCAGAACCAGGAAAATGGCTGAAATTCCCCAAGTTGGGGTCCCCAAGTCAGTTGGGGCAACAGCCTTGGTCTCTGAGTCCTGACTCCCAATCCCACCACCAGGCTTTTGATCCATCCCCAAGCCTCTCCACAAGGCCCTTGAACCCCAAATCTTGGCTAGCATGTAGACAGTGGTTCTTCAGAGAACCACTGACCATTGTAATACGTAGTTCTAAGTTCATGCTAATGCATGCTAAGAAAAGGAAATAATTAGCACATCAAACCGGTGACTGCAAAAACATTCTTGCTAATGGTGAGGCTTAAAAAAGTGAACTGATTGAATGAAAATATAAAGTAAATGATTGCACAGGTGAGAGAGACACAGAGACGGCTCAGATAGGGAGGGTGGCACCTGAATGAAGGAAGATGGGGGAACCCTGGGTAGACTGGCCATACCAGGCCTAAAGAGTGCGGAGGGCTGGGGAGATACGGGAGACCGAGGCCTGACGTGGGAAGCCCAGGGCCAGCCCAGAGTGCTTACCTTCGTGGGGGCAGAAGCCATACTTGCCGTCCTTGTCGAAGTTGTAGGTGGTGGAACACCAGAGGAAGCCATCACTGCGGCCCGTGTCTGTGCAGCTGCTGTACTCCTTGCCATTGAACAGGAAGGGGAACTTGCAGTACTCCCCATCAGCGTTCCCATACTTCACACGGACCACTGCGGGGCAACACAGAGGGTCGATGGTGAGCAGCCCAGATGCTGGAGGGTGCACCTCTCTGGGCCTTTCTTCGGAGACCAGGATTCTGACTCCCCCAGGTGTGTGACCCCCTCCCATCTCTCTGGCTCCCTCTGAGCAGATGGGAATGCCCACGGCTGCAGGGAAGCCATAGTCCTTGTTGCTAGGTGACAGGGAGGCATGCAGGGGACTGGAGAGGAGGCATGGCATGGAGACAGTCACTTTCTTACCCTGCCCTTCTCCCAGGGTCCACAGCTCATCGTCGTCAAAGTGGGAGTCTCCCCCAACTCCAGGGCCTGGGGCAAAGGCATGTGCCAGGAGTCCGTCCTTGCCATCAAAGGGGTACCCGTCTCCATGCTCTGCAACACACACGGGATCTCAGCTTCTAGACGCCCTGGCTGGGCTTCAAGACCCATCTACAACACAATCTATGGTTGGAGCCCTTTAGCTCACCTAGCATCTCCCCAACCTCTACACTCTTGGGCTTACCCAGCACTAGAAACACAGGGAATAAGTACAGATTTGATGATGTGACTGTTACCTTCCTGATCTACAGCACTCCCTTAAGTCTACACGGCCCCCAGTATCTATACCACCTACCTTCATTGTCTACACTATCACCAACATCCACTTTACCTACCCGCATACCCACATTGCCACACCAGTGTCCTTACCACTCACCCTCATGTCTACATTGTCCCCAATGTTTACACTATCTACCTTCATGTCTACACGGCCCCTTGACCATATCACCTACCTTCACGTCATACTACCCCTAATATCCACAACACCAACCCTCATGCCTACTTTGCCACCAAGGTCCATAGCACATCCACATGTCTACACTGTTGCCTATGCCTGTGCCATATACCCTCATCTCTGTACAGCTCACAGTGTCTATACCACTTACCTTCATGTCTACACTACCACCAGTGTTCCTACCACCAATTCACATGTCAGCCTTTACTCCAGGTTCTGCACCACTTACTCTCATGTCTATACTGCCCACCTTCATGGGCGCGGTTCCTTGGTGTCTGCCAGTGTTAGAGGACTTTCTACAATGACAGAAATGTTCTTTGTGCTGTTCAACTCAATTGCCACTAGCCTCATGTGGCTATTGAACATTTGAAATCTGGCTAATTTGACTGAGAAACTGAATTTTAAATTTTATTTCATTTTAATTAATTTAAGTTTAAACTTAGCCATATGTGCCAAGTGGCTTCCATGTTGGACTTACTTCAGCTTTGCACTGCCTCCAGGGAATACCTCCATGGCTCCATCATCTGCCCTCACAACTACATGGCTCTCCAGTGTCTGCCTGTGTTTTTATGCTGACACTTAGCCCCATCTATACTGCCTTCAGTACCTACACCTTCTGCTCTCCTATCTAAGCCACCTCAGTATCCCCATGCCTCTCTAATATCCATATCGCCCTCTTGTGTCTACACTGACTCCCCCTGCTGGTCTCTCTTCCACCTACCCCAGCGGCCAAAGTTGATCATGATGTCAGCCTCTCCATCGTGGATGCGAGAAAACCGCAAGGGGGTCACGTCACTCCAGACTTGGAAGGCTCGGGCGAAGGCATCATCCACCGTCTCAGGATCCAGATCAGGCGTGTAGCCAATGATCCTGGGGGTGGCAGAGATGTGTGTGAGTAGGTATGCATGTGTATGAGTGTGCAAGAGTGTGCACATGAGCACATGGGTGTGGGTGCACGTGAATGTGGCTGCGTACGTTTGTGTGCAAATGCATGTGTGTGAGTGTGCATGAGTGTGTTTGAGTATGCGTGTGTGTGCACACATTAGAGCAGGCACAAGTGTGTGTATGTGAGTGTGCGTGAGCATTTGCATGTGAGTATTTGTGCAAGTAGAGGTGTACAGAAGTCAAGCAGAGTTCACTTGAAGAACAGCCCTCCCAGAATGCCTGGTTGAGGTACCATGGAGTCCCAGACCAGCCAGGTCCTCTCTCAGGAGTCTCATCTCTCACTTCCACCTGGGTGAAGGGCCACACAGAGTGCATCATGGCACCCAGGGCAGAGATCTCATCCTTGTAATCCTGCACCATCCATAAAGGGAAGAGCTGTCAGGCTGGGAGAGTCCCCAAAACTCAATAAGCAACTATCGCATTTCCTCTGCTTCCCCTGCACTGACCTTATCTAATGATTCCTGGCCAATGCACCTCACGCACAGCTACCGCTCATCTGTCAGTGGAGGCTTGCATGTTGCTATGACGCTGAACAGGTTTCTGTGGAGCTTCCAGACTAAGATGGACTAGGAAGAAAGGTCTGGCAAGCTACTTCAAAAATCAGTCAGTGAAAACCTATGGATTACAACAATCCAATCTGCAACCAATCATGGGGATGGCGCAGGACCAGGCAGTGTTTCAATCTGTTCTGCATGAGGTTGCCACACTTAAGTTGCCATCTTGTAGACTGGAAAACCAAGGCTCAGATAATTGACAAGTAAATCTCTCAATGCCCCACAGCTGGTAAGTGTGGGACTCAAGTCCAGGTCTGTCTGACTCCAGTTCCTAAGAACACTGTATGAAAACTCAGTAAGATGCCAAGCTCTCACCAAGGATACCTCATGGGTCCCCAGAGTGGAGAGAAGGTGAGGCCGAAGGATAATCCATGACCCTCAGCCCACCGGCCCCAGGCATGACAGCCCTGCCTCCCTCAGCCCTGTCTTGGCACCTGTATGTGATCTGGGTTTTGTCCCACTTGGGCTTGCGGGGGAAGAAGTTGTAGTTGGCCACGTCAGGGTTGCCGCAGCGTGGTTTCCTCATGGTCTCAATGGTGTTCTGGTCAAGTTCGCCTGTCTGGGGCAGTCCGAAGAACTTCTGCATCTTCTTCAGTGTGTCCTTCAGCACAAACAGGTTGCAGCTCTCCTTGGGACAGCCGTAGAAGGTGTTCAAGTATTGCTGGAAAACACAAGCACCCCCAAGGTGAGCGGCCACATCAGGGTGGCATAGCACTGACACGGCAGGTTGTCGCCACCAGCCTCCAGTCCAGCCCCGTAGCCCAGACATGGTCAGGGGCCTAAGAGTCAGAAAGCCTGGGCTCCAAAACCAGCTCTGTCACCCACTAGCTGAGTGACAAAACAACTGTAGACCCAATGGCTACCACATTGGGTGCTTACTGTATGCCCAAGCACTGAGATCAGCATGTGTCAACTCACTTAATGCTCATGACAGTTCTATAACGTAATTATTATTACCACCCCATCATACGGAGGAAGAGACTAAAGCACAGAGAGGTTAAGAAATGGGCCTAAGATAATACTACTCACAAATAGCAGAACTGGAATTGGGTCTAAGCAATCTACTTCCAGAGCCCACACTCGGAACAGTGACTCTCTACCACCCTATCTTACCTCCGTCATCTCATTTAATCCAGATTATTCTCCTTCCCTTTCTTACACAGAGACTCAAGGGCTATGTGCGTGGGCCCTGGCAGCAGACAGATCTAGGTTCAAATCCTGGATCTGCTATTTCCAAAAAGAAAATGGTCCTGCCCTTCAGGGGACTGGCTGCTGGTTCTGTTCAATCTGAGGCCAAAACCAGACAAGCACTGGCAGAGGTTCAGAGACCAACCAACTCATTGATTTATTCCATAAATACTTTTAGCTATGTGCCAAGCCCTGTGCTAGTGGTGGGGATAAATTGGTGAATAAGACGGGCAATGTTTCTGGTCTTTCAGGTCTAAATCCTATGCAGGAAGGCTGACATGGATCACAAATAAATGCACAATTAAATATGTGATAAGTGCTGCGTTGGAATGGTGAAAGGGCCAGAGGTCCTCATGGCAAGGGCACTATCCTTGTTTGCGGGTTGGTTAGGGGAGGCTCCCCTGAAGACTTGCAGGGAAGTATCTGAAGGAGGGAGGTAATAATAACAATGGCTAAGGCTTATAGAGTGCTTACCATGTGCTAGGTGCCCTTCTAAGTGCCTAAGATATTATCTTTCCTTTAACACTGACATAGGTGCCATTGTTATCCCCATTTTGCAGATGAAGAAACTGAGACTCAGAAAAGTTAAGTCACTTGCCCAAGATGACTAGGGTGGTTGGCTGGTGGGTGCACACCTGGATTTGAAGCCAGGCAGTCTAAGTCAGAGCCCATGCTCTTATGCAACTCCTCTGAGCAACATGCACTTCCACATACTGACAAGGGTGTGAGGACCCAGGGAAGTCTGTCATTGCTCCACTGCTCTCCTCCCCAGCCAACAGGCACATCATTCCCAGGCTCTTGAAAAGGTCCTTGGGTGGCTCAAATGGCTTGTGCTCAACTACTGACCTTAAGGCTGGCTGTTTGAACCTACCCAGCAGCACCAGGCTACTAACCTAAAGGTTGGCTGTTCAAACCGACCCAGCAGTGCAGTGAAAGAAAGGCCTGGTGATCAGCTTCCGCAAAGATTACAGCCAAGAAAACCCTACGGAGCAGTTCTATTCTGTAACACAGGGAGTCACCATAGATTGTAACGGAGTCCACTGCAATATGTTTTTTTGGGTTTAAGAATCGAGGGAGTACTGATTGCTCTGACTGGGATCACACAGAGGGTCCTGGACAGAGCGGGAGAAAAACATAGAACAAAAAAATCAAATTCACAAAAAAGATCAGACTTACTGGTTTGACAGAGATTGGAGGAACCCCAGAGACTACGGCCCTAAGACACCCTTCTGACCTGGAACGGAAGACCTTCCTGGAGACCACCTTTCAGCCAAACAACAGACAGTTCCATAATACAAACAACAGCACCCAAGAGCAATGTATTCCTTAGAACAACCAATTATACGAGATCGAAAGGGCAATATTTGCCCAAAAGCAAAGACGAGAAGGCAGAAAGGGGTAGCAAATCCGGACAAAAGGAAACGGGAAAGCCAGGGAGGAAATGAGGAGAGTTCTGACACATTGTGGGGAACGCAACGAACGACAAGGAGCACTTTACATACAAACTGTCCATGGGAGACTAATTTGCTCTGTAAACTTTCACCTAAAGCACAATAAAGAGTTAAAAAAAAAAGAAGAAGAACAATGTAGGGAGGTCTCCCAATCCATCTATTCACAGGTGGCAGAGGCTTGATGCTGGAAAAGGGTGGGGTGTCACATCCTGAGAAGGAGTTCCCAGGGGAACCATAGGACATGGGTGTTCTGTCCTGGGCAGGCTGGGGACCAGGCTGGATGGAGGGGAGCGGATTTCTTAGGGAGGCTGACACAGTAAGAGGCAGATACCCTGTGGGCTGGAAGGGACACCTTGAGGGGGCCCCAGTGGGAGGAGTTTACAGGATGAGGGGGCAATGCCCTTCAACTGCCTGCGGCCCCAGCCAGGCTTGAGTAACACTGCGGCCAGGGCTCACGGCGAGCCAAGCGCGCGCGCTGGCAAAACAACATCTGAGCCGCAGCTCGGAGGCCGGCCAAGAGGGAGGGCTCGCTGGCCGCTCTCCGACCCTAGCAGGGCTCCGTCCGCCCCCGCCCCACGCGCCAGGGCCCTCCTGCGCCTGCCCCTCCCTCCGCCGGTTCTCTCCGGTCCTCCGACTCTTCGGAGAAATTCCCGAGGAGACGTTCGAGGAAACTTTCCGAGGCTCGGAGGCCCAACCCTTGACCCTCCTGGCCAACTTGTTCATGGAGCCAGGCGAAAAAGATGCGCTCCCCGCTTCCCTCTGGCCCGGATGATGTGCTAAAACGGTCCCCTGGGGCTGTTGTTCAAGGTCTCTCTCCAGATGTGCGCTAAAGGCTCCCAGAAGTCTGCCAAGCCCAGCTTTGCCCAGAACACCCATCCTCGGGTTCGCCAAAGTTTTCCCCAATTGTGTGCCAAAGTTCCCCCTTCCCAAAGTGCCGCAGGGGTTTAAAAATCTCCTCCCCCGTTTATAAAAGAGACCCCTTAGCTGTTTGCCAAAAGCCTACCAAGATGTTTAGCCAACCCCCAGATGTGTCCAAAAGTTGTTTACCAAACCCTCCCCCTTTGCCAAGTGCCTCAGAAGCTTGATAATGTCCCCGTAATCTGCAAAGGGGGCCCTTTCCAGCAGTTTACTAAAGCACCGCTCCCCGTTCGTTTCTCGCTCCCGTCCGCCCGCCGCCAGTGCTGTGGTTAAGGTTGCCATTGTTGACCAAAAGCCTCCTCCCCTGGTTGCAAATGAGATTCCTCGGTCAGTTCGCCAAAGATCCCCCCCCCCCGCAACAAGCTGTTTTCCGAAGCCCCTCCCCTGACCGTGTGCCCACTCTGCCCCACTCCCCATCCTCCGTCTCCGAAGTTTGTCTAAACTTGGCTCGTTGAGGCCAGCGTTGCAACTCACCACAGCCAGCTCTTTGTCCGTTTTGGGGGCGACGTCGCCGGGAAACTTGATGATGGGCGATGGCGCGGCGGCGGCGCGGCCCAACAGGCAGCCTAGGACGCACAGCGTCCGCAGGGCACCGGCAAGCGCGCCCCGGGCCCCTTGCGCTTCCATCATTGCGGTCCCGGGCCCCGCGCTACGCCCGGGGGTCGCTGGCTCGGTGCGTGTGGCCGCGTCGCCGCCTGTCTGGCGCCTGCTCTGCGGCGCAGGGCTGCGCTCGGAGGGCGCACTCCGCTCGGTTGGCTCTGCTGACCCCGGCTCAGCGGCGTAAGGTCCGGCCTCCGTAGCTCAGCCACGCCGCAGCCGCCGCCGCTGCCTGTGGCCGCTGGTCCTGCCAATCCCTTTGTATGTTAAAGCCCCAAATGCGCAGCCTCTAGCCACCGCCGGAGGAAGTCTGGATGCTGCGGAAACAAGGGAAGGCGGCCGCCAGATGTGGCCGGCGGGGCTGGGAGGGCGGGGGGCGCGCTTGGGCCCGCCCCTCCCGCCTCCCCCCACCCCACTCGCCCTTCTCCTGTTTCTCCACCCCTTTTCCCCCGCCGCAGGCTGCCCAGGCCCGAGGTCACCATCTGGGCGCGCGTTTGTTCCCCTTGCTCCCCTCGTCTCCCCGAAAATTTCAGGGACTTGTGACAGGGAATCTTCTGGTGCGACCGCTCTAGACCCTTGACGTCCTGAGGTTGGAAAGCAGCGGTTCTGGGAGGGACTCCCGCCGACCAGGACACTAGGCTCTCCTCAGGGACATGGGTCAGGGATGGGGAGGGATGATCAAAAACAGATGATCAGAGGCATCAAGCAAACCGAGAGACTATCAGAAACAGAGAATTTAGCTGTTTGGAGGTGGAGACAGAGAGGACAGAGATGGAAAGAGACAAAGACGGAAACAAAGTGGAGGGTCCCCGCTTGCTTCCTTCCACTCTTACCTCCTTCCCGCTCTGCCTTCTTTCCCGCTCCTTCCTTCCATTCTTCTTCCCCTTCCTCCCTCCCTTCCTTTCTTCATTCCTTCTGAAAACATGTAAGCATTTACTTGTCTCAGGCATAGTGCTAGATGCTAGATATATGAGGGGAGCACAGCAGCCTTGGTTCCTGTCCCAGAGGAGGGCCCCTTCCCCCTTTTTCTCCGAAAAGACAGACAATTAAGTAAGTGATAACAAGCTGTGATGGGAACCTAGCAGGCTATGGGAGCACCTGGCCTTAGCTTCTAAACTACCATAGATAGTCTGGGAGGGCTTCCTGAAACAACTGACTTCTGAGCTTCGACCAGAAAAGAGGTGGGAGTGTTTGGGGGAGGGGGCGTTTCAGGCACGAGGAGCCCCGGTTGGGCAGTGGTTAAGCACTCTGCTGCTAACTGAAGGGTTGGTGTTTCCAACTCACCAGCCACTCTGTGGCAGAAAGATGTCGCAGTCTGCTTCAGAAAAGATTACAGCCTTGGAAACCCCTTGGGGCTGTTCTACTCAGTCCTCTAGGATCACTATGAGTCAGAATCAACTGGAAGGCAGTGGGTTTGGGCATGTTTCAGGAACAATCTGTTGCTGTTAGTAGCCCTGGCTCATGGCCACTCCATTCACAACAGGATCAGGGCCTGTTGCTATCCATAGGGTTTTCATTGGCTGATTTTTGTAAGTAGATTGCCAGGTCTTTCTTCCTAGTCTGTCTTTGTCTGCAAGCTCTGTTGAAGCCTGTTCAGCATCATAACAACATGCAAACCTCCACTGACAGATTGGTGGTAGCTGTGCCTGTTGTGCATTGGCTGGGAATCAAACCCGGATCTCCTGCATAGAAGGCTAGAATTCTACCACTGAACCTCCCCTGCCTGCTCAGGGACAGCCTGGATGTTGTTGTTATGTGCCGTCGAGTTGATTCCAACTCATAGCAACCCTATAGGCCACAGTAGAACTGTCCCATGGGGTTTATCACGTACTTTGGGCATGTTATCAGGAGGGACCAATCCCTGGAGAAGGACATCATGCTTGGTAAGGTAGAGGGTCAGCAAAAAAGAGGAAGCCCCTCGATGAGATGGACTGACACAGTGGCTACAATGATGGGCTCAAGCATAGCAAAGATTATGAGGATGGTGTAGGACTGGGCAGTATTTCATTCTGTTGCACGTAGAATCGCTATGAGTTGAAACCGACTCAAGGGCACCTAACAACAAAATAATCTTTACAAGCAGATTGCCACATCTTCCGGGAGCAGTTGGTGGGCTTGAACCACAGACCTTATGGTTAGCTGCTGAGTGCTTAACCACTGTGCCACCAGGGCTGCTTCAGGAACAGTCTAGGGAGCAACATATATGAAGGCCTAGAGTTGAAAGACAGCAAGACACACTGGAGAAGGAAGTTCCTTCTGTCTGAAAAGGTGAAGAGATGGGACTGGAGGGGTGAGCAGCAGGGGCTAGTCCGGGGAGGGGGGAAGGGAGAGGGGCTGGAGGGGTTAGCAGAGAGCAGCCTGGGAAGGAAGGGATGGGACAGGGGCATCAGCAGGGACCAGCATGAGGAACAAGGACCTGGGGCTGAAAGGGTCAGCAACAGTCGCCTGAGGAGGGTCTCAGAGGTGATGGTGATGAGTCTGGCTTTTATCTTAAGGGCCGGAAGAGCCTCTGCAGCTTGAGTCTTAGTGGGCTTGGGACAAATACAGGCTGTCTGGCAGGTGGGTGCTGCTCGCCTGCCAGAAGTCAGTCTGGAAGGAGCCCCTGGGGAGACCTTGCCCCAAGGGAGGGAGCTAAGTCCATCTGCCTGACCCAGTGAGAAGCCTTGGCTGTTGAGGGGAGGGTAAGTTTGAGGTCAGTGGGATGTGGGGGATGGGTTGCCTCCTGGCCCAGCCTCATCTGGCTCCCCTCCATGTCCTGTGGATAGCCGTAGAGCCAAGTTGGAGACTGAGAGCTGGGAGTGAAAACGGAAAAAGTTGTCTCACTAAAGCAGGGATTGCAAACTCGTGGCCTGTGGGCTGAATCCAGCCTGAACAGCATTTTGAAACTTGGGAAACTTCATGTAAAATCCTGATTTTCTTTAAAAAAATTCCCTAAGATCTGGCAATACTGAGTGCCAATTTGCATATGGCCGCAGTTAGCTGAAGCTAAGTAGAGGCTGCCCTTTTAGATGGAGCCTGTTCTTGGGTTTGCCCCAGTCCCCACCACTCTCTATTGCCTTCCATGTGACTCAACTTCACTCAGTTTTGCTCATTGATGTCACTTGCCCACTTTTCCCAAAAGGCTTTGTGAGATACTGGGGTTCTAAGCAGCACAGCTTTGGGGCTCCCCAGTCAGAGGGCAGCTTTGACTGCATCTTTTTGGAACCTGTGTAGCTTTGGCACTCCAAGGGCCTGGGTGTGCAGTGTAGGCGCTTGGCACACTGTGGCGCCCACTTAGAGATGGTAGCAGTTGCAGAAGCAGCACCCAGTGAGAGAGAGGGGCCTCGGTGCCCAAGAGCAGGGCAGTGCCCAGCAGTGCCCAGGCCCAGGTTCTAGGAGAACATAGGCTTATCTAGTGGTAATTGACTTGGTGCGCACATGAAACACACCCCCGGGCCCCTGAGCACCCCTCTACTCTCTCTTTCCCTGCCATGGTCACCCGAGGAGCCCCATGTTGTTGTGGCAGAGGCACAAAACAAAAGCAACCAGACCCACTGCAGACTTTATAAGTGAAACACAATCTTGTACATAACAAACCACTAACATTTGGGGATAAGTTTGTTCCTGCAGCATCTTTTAGCCAATTCTAATACAGATGTAAGGAGCCCTGGTGGCACAAAGGGTTAAGTGCTTGGCTGCTAACTGAAAGGTTAGTGGTTCAAGTCCACCCAGAGGTGCCTCAGAAGAAAGGCCTGGTGATCTACTTCGGAAAGTCAGCCATGGAAATCCTGTGGAGCACAGCTCTACTTTGGGGTCGCCATGAGTTGGAATTGACTCAAGAGGAACTGGTTTGTTTTTTGTTAATATAGATGTAAACTGACTATAATTAGTAGACCCCAGGATAATGGCATGAATTTTTTTCATTCATTCAGTCAGCAAATCTTGAATGGGTGGTTTTCCAGGTGCTGGGTACAGCAGCAGATAGATAGTTTGTACTGATGAAGAAGGAGTACATCACTGTGGGACACCAAGCAGAAGAAGATGGGAACTTGGGAGAAGTGCTGGCCATCTGTCATTTTTGCTTTCCTAAGACACTGTCCTCTTGCTTTTTTTTTTTTCCAAGCAACAGTAACTTCATTATTCAGAAAAATTAGGTTAATAGGTAAAAGGAGTTTGAAAAGTTCTCTAAATATGTAATATACTATGTCATCTTTCTTTTATCTATTTAAATGTAATTTACTCAATATAATAGCATTGATTAACCTTTTTTAAAATTTATTTTGTTGTTGAGAATATACACAGCAAAGACTACCCCAATTCAACCGCTTCTACATATACAATTCAGTGACACTGATTACATTCTTCGAGTTGTGCAACAATTCTCTCTTTTTCTGAGTTGTTCCTCCCTCATTAACATAAATTCATAGCCCCCTAAAATTCCTATCTAATCTTTCAGGTTGCTGTTGTCACGTTGATCCCTTATAGATAGTTCTTAAAAGAGCATAACGCTCAAGGCAGACCATTTTTACTAGTTAAGCTAAGCTATTAACCAAGCATAGAAAAGATTGTGAGGATGGTGCAGGACTGGGCAGTGTTTCATTCTGTTGTAAATAGGGTCGCAATGAGTCACAATTGACTCGACGGCATCTAGCAATAACAATCGTTTGGTTTTAAAAAAACTTCAGGGGATATTTTTAGTTTAAGGTTTTTCTTTAATACGTTTCTATTGTACCTTAGATGAAGGTTTACAGAACAAATAATTTCTCATTAAAAAGTACACATATTGTTTTATGACATGGGTTAACAACCCCACAACATGTCAACACTCTCCCTTCTCGACCTTGGGTTCCCTATTACCAGCTTTCCTGTCCCCTCCTGGCTTCTGGTCCTTGTCCCTGGAGTGTTGTGCCCCATTAGTCTCATTTTGTTTTATGGGGCTGTCTAATCTTTGGCTGAATGGTGAACCTCAGGAGTGACTTCATTACTGAGCTAATATGGTGTCCGGGGGCCATACTCTCAGGGTTTCTCCCGTCTCTGTCAGGCCAGTAAATCTGGTCTTTTTAGTGAGTTAGAATTTTTGTTCTACATTTTTCTCCAGCTCTGTCCGGGACCCTCTGTTGTGATCCCGGTCAGAGTAGTCAGTGGTGGTAGCCGGACACCATCTAGTTGTACTGGACTCAGTCTGGTAGGCCGTGGTAGTTGTGGTCCATTAGTCCTTTGGACTAATCTTTTCCTTGTATCTTGTTTTCTTCATTCTCCCTTGCTGCCTAGTTTACATTTAGAAGATTCTCTCAGGACAATAGTTTCAGGGATTCTTTCAGCCCCCATGGCTCCAGA